ACCAGTCAGATCTGATTTAACAGTACACACACACACACTGTCCCCTATTTGGCCAAGATGCCCTAGAGTCAAGTCCAGGCTTCTCCTACTGGGGTGGCTGCTAAGAGGTGTAGGCTCTGGTGGGGGTGATGGGAGGAGGAACAGTAAAGGCAGCAGAGGAGAGGCAGACAGGGCTAGAGGAGTTTAAAGCCCATTGAGATAGGGGACATTCCCCTAGGCAGGCAGGGAGGGGAGAAGAGAAAAGAGCCAGCTGGATAGGTGGGGCCAGGCACTGCTCTGAGCCCCAGCTCTGATTACCAGGACTGGCAGGAACAGAGCCAAACTTTTCACGCAGTCCTCGGTATTTCTTTCTCCTCTATATAATAGGGTGTCCGTACAGTGTACAAATCCCATAATGCATGATTTTACACAACACACTGTGTACATTCACCCACACAGACCATATGAAATTACAAAAAAGAATCTGGAAAGCTATGCAAATTACAACTGAAGTTCTTTTGGAGAAAGGCACTGGGGAAAGGAGAAAAAGTTTTAACTTTTCTTTTTTACACATTTTTGCATCGTTTGAATTTGTTCAAGCACATATAATATATAATTGGTTTTTTTAAAAAAAAATAACAAAGCCATTTCACCATTCACTTACAATGATTACAGTTAACCCAGCACGTATCATACCTCGGGGGGGAGGCACTTCTGGATGAGGCGGGCTAAGCTGCCTCTAGAGAGGAGTGTAGTAGCTGAAGGGCGATGAGAGGGATTCCTTTTAAACATCTGCTTGATTAGACTCTGGAGATCATAGGAATAATGAGATGGCAGAGGACGGATGGAGCCTTGGCATATTTTGAGGATAAGAGTTTTCCAGCTATTAGCCTGAAACTGAAAAGTAAAATTGAACTTTTAAGAGCAGAAACAAGGAAAGAAAATGGAAAGAAGAAAACAATGATTGACTGGAAATACATATAAATTGTTTTCAGGTTTTTTTCAGCCTTGTCATTTTTCATCTTAGAGGTGTCCATAATCTAAAATCTTATCATAGCTCAGAAGAAATAATAACAATCTTTCCCATCTAGAGACAGCTTATCATTGCTTTGAGAATTTTAATAGTCATAATACTGCAGAAGCACATTTGCAATATATCTTTAAAAAGAAAAATAATAATGTGTTGTTATGTGCCATCAAGTGACGATGACTGATAGTAACACTACATATAATAGCTCTGAAGCCTGCCCTATCCTAAGCCAGTCTCACTGACTCTAAAACACCTACTCCTATTACCCCAGTTATTGTGTCAATCCATCTTACCCAAGGTCTTCATCTCCTGTGCTGTCCCTGCTCCCTTCCAAGCATGGTCCTTTCTAGCCACATGCCACTTATTAAAAGCCTCCTGGTATCATTTGGCTTCCTTTAAAGCTATGTGTATGTATTATTTTGGGTTCCTTTAAAGCCATGTGTAGATCTTTCTTTTCTGCATGAAAAGCCCAGGAATTTCCTTGCTCTGTTCTAAGGAAACACTACATGGTTCAAAACCAGAGAAGGAGTACAGCAAGGATGCATCCTGTCTCCACAACTTTTCAATCTGTATGCAGAACAGATCCTTCAAGAAGCTGGACTTTATGAGGAGGAATGTGGCATAAGAATTAGAAGAAGACTCATCAACAACCTGCATCATGCAGATGACACAACCTTGCTTGCTGAAACTGAAGAGGGCCTGAAGCACTTGTTGCAGAAGATCAAAGACTGTAGTCTTCAATATGGATTGAAGCTCAACATCAAGAAGACAAAGATTCTCATCACTGGGCCAACTGGCAACACCTTGATAGATGAAGAAGAGTTAATTTAGGCTTGCTCAGCTCCACAATTAACACTCTTGGCAGCAGCAGTCAGGAAATCAAAGGATGAATTGTACTGGGGACGTCTGCTGTCAGGGACCTCTCCAGAGTGCTGAGAAGCAATGATGTCACTCTAGAGACTAAGGTGCACCTAATGCAGGCCATACTCTTTGCAGTTACTTCTTATGCTTCAGAGAGCTAGACAATGACTAAGGATGACAGAAGAAGAATTGATGCCTTCAAGTTGTGGTGCTGGAGAAGTATCTTGAACATACCATGGACCACTAGGAGGATAAACAGGTCTATCCTGCAGAGAGTGTAACCAAGTATCTCCTTGGAGGCTATGATTTTGAAGCTCTGTCTCACATACTTTGGGCACAAGGTTAGGAGGGACCAGTCCTTGGAGAAGGACATCATGCTTCAAAGGGTGGAAAGGAAAGGAAAACTCCAGCTGAGATGAATTGATACAGTAACTGAGGCAATGGGGGATGGCGTGTCAGAATAATTGAGACTGACTCAGGACACAACAGGCTTCAGAGCTGCTGTACATAGGGTTGCTATGGGTCACAGGTGACTCAACAGCACATAACAACAACAAGTTTCCATATATACATGAATATATACATGCCAGCGCTAAAACTAGATGCATTATTTATTCTGCTTTGAAAGTTTACTAGTCATCCTGTTAAAAAAGAGAATACAATTGAAGATTTCCATGTTAAACACAGGAAAAGCTCAGACAGTGATGAATAAGACTGAGTGTGCCTTGTCACAGGCTTTTAAAATCATTATTCCAGAAGGTTTGGAGGTCTGTAAAGTCTTTCGGTCTTAGAGTAGAGAAGAGACAACAAATCATATACCAAATACATGATGGTGCTTCATTGGACAATTGATGTCTCTGAACTGTGGTGCTGGCAGAGAGAACTGATATACCATGGACCTCCAGAAGGACAAATCTGTCTTGAAAAAGGTGCATCCAAGACGCTCCTTAGAGACAAGCATTACTTACTTTCCCTTTATCGCTCTTAAGCACGTCCATAAGGAAGCATGTGGAGCTGCGTTTGAATCTGTACTCAACAAACAGAATTGATTTGTATGTAAAGGTAAGACCTGAGCGAGATCAACTTTGTGATCCTTGGGTCCATGTAATAAATGACAGGTGAATAAGCAGGACAAGCAACTTAATGTTTTGTTTGCTGTTGTTAAAGTGTTCCTTAAAATAATTTTTTAAAAATACATGTATTTGGAAAAAAGTAATATAAACAATGGGGAAAAGTTTATTTCTCCATGCTTTTTTAAAGAAGAAACCCAGATAATAAGGGAAATCTAACAACAAAAGGGCAAGTACAGAACACTAGAAATGAAATAATGGTATTTCCCATTATGACAGTTTGAATTCAGCATCCCGTCCTGGGAGAATGAAGCGACCATCTGCTTCTGTCAAGAGGTACAATCTCAGGAGTATGACAGGCAGTTCTTCCCAGGCCTCCAGGGCTGCTACGCATTGGAATCAACTTAACTGAAGTGAGCTTTGCTTTACATGAAAGTCATAGTTGAAAGCAACGATGACAGTGAATGGAACATCCTTAAACTTCTATGGTGAATGAATCCCAGAGATGCTTCCTATCAGCTGGAAGTCGGCACCTTTCCTAGAACTTAGCTAGACAGGAGCAGCAGCTTGCTGCTTCCTCTCATGTGCCACACTTACCGGGTGTTTAAAGGTACAGAGCTCATAGAGAATGCAGCCCAACGACCAGATGTCACTGGAAACACAAAGAAGCAACGTCTAAGAAGAGGGCTAGGAGCTACATACAAAAGAATACATTTGAAATACAAAATGAATAGATGTATTTCCTAATATAAAAAAGGAAAACAATATAAATTATAATAAAGCTAGAATAGTCAATCAAAGTGCGATGGGCACGAGAGAATACTGACCAGATTGATACATACACATGATCGTGAAGGTGGCAGGACCCTGCAACATTTCATTCTGTTACACAAAGATCACCATGATTTGGAGTAGACTTTCAAAGTTACATTTAGCACCTCTCAGCTGTGATTAAAAGAGCTGGAAAACTACCTTTCATCTAGAAGCTTGGAAATGCATATTCAACGTATCAGAATGTTCTATACGACTACTTTAAAGGAGATGCCAGACTCCAGCACCATCCTCAGGCTACCGTGCCCATTACCAAAGTCTGCCTTGCATCCAACAGTTCATCACCTACCTCTTATTGTTATAAGGCATGTTTTCCCAGATTTCTGGTGGCACATAATAAGGTGTTCCCACGTAGGTACAAGCAAATGCCATGGGACTAAAATAACAGAAAGTTTAAAAAAAAGAAATAAAGAACAACGAATAGTTTCTGAGCATTCCTGAGTAAGGGGTAGTCTCTTCACATCAATGCCCTTGTTCAGCATGAAGAAGCCAGAGAGTCTGCAACCCATTCCCAAATGAGGAACACAAGTGAATAAGACAATTTCTTTGTTAAAAAAAATTCATCACCATTGGACTATGCTCACCAGTACCTTATCTCTGCTGGTCCCCACTGGATCTTTCTCATTTTTTTTGCCACTCCCCCCACCCACCAAATTGTGCAGCCCTGTGATGTGATTCCTGCACATCCTCTCTCTTCTGCTCCCAAACCTCACCCCCTTGTATCCCACAAATGTTTTTCACAAATTAAAAAAAATAAATAAATTCTGAGCACTGTGGCTACTATGGGAAGGAGTTACATACTTGGAAAGAAGACAGGCAGATCCAAAATCTCCCAGTTTTAATTTTCCAGTCTGGGTGAGGAAGATATTCTGCATTAAAGGCAAAAAACCCCCCTTAGTTATCTCTTTAAACATTCAATAACAAGGCAGCTGTCTTTCAACGCCTGTGGGTGATTTGATCCACACTCACTTAGGAAGCAGTCGCTAACGAGCTTGGAACATACTGACATGTGCTCCTAAAGACAAGGATGTCTGCTAATGTGCACAATCACCTCACAAAAACAAGGTGGTTCCTGAGATAGAAGCTTGGAGATTTCTTAACTGAGGCAACTTCATTAATCTAAACAACACCTGAGAGGATTTATGCTAACAGTCTAATATCAACTCATCGCAGCAAGCATGGTTCAACGCATATACAATGATGTCTCAATCCTACTCATAATTAAAGCCAGTAAAGGCTCTAAAACCCAAAGGGTCCTGGAGCTTCCTGGTTGGTGAAGGAAGGATTAGGTACATGTTAGTACATGGAAGCTCCCCCTTGGAAATCCACACCGACCTGACCCATGCATCTCTTCACCACAATCATCTTGACTCATATCCTTTTGGTACTATAAGCCTGTAATTTAAGTAGAGTACTTTCTGTGAGCTGTCACAGTGTGTTACTGCACCTAAAGGAGCAGTGGAAACCAGGAGGCCAAAGTGAAGGAGCACCTGGGTGGGTCCAGAGCTTGCCACTATCACCCTGAACAAACAATGACAAAATCCTAAGTGTGTAGCCAGCAGGTCCATATAAGGGTGTCATATGGACTCCCACGTGTGTGGTTTGGTGGCTTCCTATTTTGCAACATGAAAGACACTGTCCTTTTGACTTGTCCTATCTCAGGCTGGAGGGGACAGAGGGAGAAAGACCAACCATGTGAGCAGCTGGTGTCAAAGATGACAAAGATATGGGAAAGGAGTATTTAAAAAAAATACAGACATTGAAGATTTGATTAATCTTCACATTTTTAGGGATGTATGTTGATGCTTATCCCTGGGTACAGGGAATGTTTTATGTTGTTATCTGGCGCTATCACATCAGTTTGATGGCAAACCTTTTGTCAAACAGGTATAAACACTGCCTGGACCTAATCCATTCTCACAGCTGATGCTGGGCCTCAGGCCACTGTGCTAACCACTGTGTCAGCTATCTTTCTCTTTATCGATGAGCTTCCACTGTATCAGGCATCACATCCTTCTCCAGGGCCTGTCTCCTCCTGATGGCATGACCCACGTATGTGAGATGCAGTCTGGTCCCTCCTGCCTTTACAGATCAAGCTGGCTATATTCTTTGGAGGCGGATTTGCCTGTTCCTCTGGCAGCTCATGCTATCATCGATGCTCTTTGCCAGCTCCACAATTCAAAAGCATTGATTCTTTTTAGGTCTTTTTTATTCATTGTGCACTTTTTACAAGCATATGAAACAACTGAAAATACGAAGGGTTGGGTCAGGCACACCTTAGTATTTAAGCCGACATCCTTGCTCTCTTAGTCCTTTAAAGAGGTCCCTGACAGTGGAATTTTCTACTGCAATATGTTTTTGGATTTCTTAACTGCTGCTTCCAGGGGTATTGATTTTGGATCCAACTAAAATGAAGTCCTTAGCAACTTCAATATTTTCTCCATTTATCATGATGCTTATTGGTTCGGCTGTGAAGATTTTTATTTAATACTGAGGTATAATCCACACTGAAGGAGGTATTCTTCGATCTTCAGTAAGTGCTTCAAGTCCTCTTAATTTTTAGCAAGTACTAGTATGTCGCTTACACATCTCAGGTTGTTGATGATCTTCCACCAATCTTTATGCCACATTCTTCTTCATACAGTCCAGCTTCTCCACGTATATGCTCAATATACTGACTGAGTAGGTATAGTGAAAGGCCATAACTCTGATGTACACCTTTCCTGATTTTAAATCAGACAATATCCACTTGTTCAGTTCAAATGACTGCTTCTCAGTCAATGTCCAGGTTCCACATGAGTACAATTAAAGGTTCTAGAATTCCCATTCTTTACAATTTGTGATTCACACAGCTGAATGCCTTTGCACAGTCAATAAAACATGTTGTTGTTGATTGCCGTCAAGTCAAGCATGACTCATAGTGACCCTGTGAAACAAAAGGCCTGAAGCCTTTCTATAACTATCGTCATCTATCAAACCATAAAACATAGGTAAATATTTTTCCAGTATTCTCTCCTTTCATCCAAAATCCATCTGACAGCAGCAGCAATATCCCTTACTCCATGCCCTCCTCTGAATGTGGCTTGAACTTCCTGAGGTTCCTTGTCAGCTGAAAGTTCCTTCTCACTTCCAGGTACAGCTGCAACCATTTTTTAATAATTTTCAGTAAGATCTTATTTGCATGTGATATTAATGATACTATTCTATAATTTTCACATTCTGTCACATCATCTTTCTCTGGAATGGGTAAAAATATGGATCTCTTGCAGTTGGTGGGCCAGACAGCTGCCTTCCAAATTACATGGCATAGACAAGGGGGCACATTCACTGCTGCATCAGTTTTCTAAAGCATCTCAGTTGGTCTTCTGTCAACTTCTGGGGCCTTGATGTTCACCTCAACACAGTACAACTTGAACTTCTCTACCTTCAGGAACATTTCAAGGTCTATCTTGAAGTACAGCACTGTCAGTGATAGAATAATATTCACAGCCATAAAAGGAAGAGGGGGCTCTGGTGGCCTCGTGATTGGAATCTGCACTGCAGTGCCTAAGACATACAGTATGCATCCATGCTGTTCTACGGGTGAAAGATGGGCAATCTCTTCCCATTTTTTGCCTCTGAAAACCAGCCAGAGGGTCTGCTGTGAGTCAGTTCCAATTCAACAGCACACACCAACATCAACACTAGGAAGACCTGTTAATATGACTATTATTCAAATTTGTACCGAACACTAAGTCAATTATGAAGAAACAGAGGATTTCTACTAACTTCTGCTACCTGTAATTGGTTAAACATGCAATCAAGATACACTAATAATTACTAGTGATTGGAATGGAATAGGTGGAAACCAAGAAGAAGGATAAGTGGCTAGAAAATATGGCCTTGTGATAGAAATGTTTAAACTCTTTGGTTTTTTTGTTGTTGCTGTTTTTTCAAGGTCCAAAAGTATAATCCACTTACCTTGGATTTAATATCTCTATGTAATACACGTTTCCTATGAATGTGATTTACTCCCAGGCACATCTGAGTAAACCAGTTAAGTATCTGTAGGAAAAAAGTAAGCAAAATCTCTAGCACATCGACCAAAATTCCAAGGATGCTTCTCTGGGGCTTACGTAGACCAGAGCATTCCATGATTTAAGTGCAAAACTCCTGTATACCGTATAGTTCAACTAGGATTCAGTGTTACTTGAAGAAATCCAGAAAAGCTGTATCTTATGATTCAAATAGCAATTTAATAAAACTTGTATATTTTTCTTATATTCAACCAAATAAAATTCTTTTTTAAGTATATATTAAAGTAACTGAAGTGAAAATGCTACATAATGTAACCATAATGGTGGATTTTCAAAGACATTTTCCGAAGGTCACATGTTAATGATAAAGGACTTTATTACACTTTCAACAATTCTTTGAAGTCAGCCTTTTCTGTTTATAAAACATCATTAATACACAAAATTTCAAGGTACCGTGAGGAGGTACAATCAAATGTACTAAACTATCTTGGTTTCTTTTTTGCTATAGAGATTCATCCATTTGAAGCTGAGGTGATCTCCGAAGTTGATATTGTTAACAAAACTTATAATGAAACAACTATGAGATATCATCTCACCCCAGTAAGAACAACAAAATTTAACAGAACAGCAAACATCAAATGCTGGTGAGGTTGCGGAGAAATTGGAACCCTTATTTACTGTTGGCGGGAGTGTGTAAAATGGTGCAACCACTATGGAAGGCTGTTCGGCACTTTCTCAAAAAGTTGCAAATAGAGATACCATTTGACCCAGCAATTCCACTACTGGGAATATACCCTAAAGAAACCATAACCGCCACCCAAGCAGATATATGCACACCCATGTTTATTGCAGCTTTGTTCACAATAGCAAAGAGCTGGAAACAACCCAAGTGCCTATCAACAAACGAATGGGTAGAGAAGCTCTGGTATAGTCAAACAATGAAATACTATGCAGCATTGAAAAGCAAGGAATTCATGAAATATTATGCAAATTGGGTGACCCTGGAGGATATTATGCTGAGTGACATATCTCAGTCACAAAAGGACAAATATTGCATAGAGCCACTGTTGTAAAACAGGACTGACATTAGGGTTGAGGGAAGACAGAGAAGGAGGGAAGGAATGATATATACTGCATTGAAACAGATGAGGGAGAGAATGTTTAAAAGAGATATATGATTGGGTATTATTATTATGACAGGAGTCCAGAATGAAGGCTGCACAGTGGAGTGGACTTGGGGGGAGGGATTGTATAACAATGAAAGAGTTTTTCTTTTACTTTTCAAGGAGAAGAGTGAATTGGGGGGAAAAGGATGGGTGGGGAGAAAAGTGCAACAATGAATGACTAGAAAGCCTAAGTCTCTGTAAACTTTCATTAAAATGAATAGAAAAACCCAAGCTTATAATGAAGAATGTACTAATATACTTACATAATCTTTATATGTTATATGAAAGCAAGCCTCACTAAAGTGGTTTTATTTCAATATATCCCTTAATCAGTTCATTTTTAAAAAATAGTATACAATTTCCCATTAAAAAGACAATATATCCTAGATTTATGAGAATATGTCCAGCTTTAGAAAGAAAAAGATTGAGAACAGGCACCTCTAAGAAACAGCCACAGGCTTCACTCTTCTGATGTCCTAGTACTACAAAAGAAAATCAATGTTTCAAAGATTTCAGTACAAGAGAAAAGAAAAAATTTAACTATTTCTACGTCTAGGATAAAATATAAGGTGCTGTGGTGGCCTAGTGGTAAGAATCTGCACAGCAATCCTCAAGGCATGAAGTTCAAATCTGCCTGCTGCTCCATGCAAGACCGAAGACAATCTCCTCCCGTGCAAATTAGCTGGCTCTGAAAACCTGCTGGAGGGTCAGCTGTCGGTCGGTTCTGACTCGATGGTACCCAACAACAACACAGTATAAAATGTAATGAATCATATCATTCAAAGTCTCCCAAACGTGGAAATTTCATTATGACTCGACGGCATTAAACAACAACAAATGATATGTGAAAAATTGCCTCTAAGCCTCGAGGAAAGTTCTATTAGTCAGTCTCTTACCATGTCTTCCGGAAAGAACTTTCCTTTCTGGTGTTTGATTGTTTGCATTAGGTCCCCTGCATCACAATATTCCATCACAATGTACAGATGTCCATCAGCTACAACAAATGTGAGAGGCGTCAGAAGATCCCAGGCAGTCATGATTTAAATTGAGAAATGCACATTTTCGGGGGATTCATATTTACCTTCAAATGATTCTTTAAAGGCAACAATATTGGGATGTTTCATTTTGGCTAACAGAATAGCCTCCTTTCTGGAAGTCTGTGTATCAGAGGAGGACTAAAAGACATATTAAGCAAGTTAAATTTAAAACTGCATTATAAACAGACAGCTTTATAGTAACGACCTACAGTTTGTACAGGGAGTTTCGCTGGCCTTGTGATTAAGGAGCTGCGTCCTGCAAGCAAAGGTGGGCTATTCAAATCCAGCAGCTCCTCCCGTGTGATTCACAGCCTCACAAAACTCACTGGGCGTCTGGCAGGAGTCAGTGCCGACTCGACTGCAGGCAACACAACATTTGTGTGACATTTCAATCCACGCCGGCTGTAGTTCTGGACCACTGTCTTTTGGCTCAACTTAAGTTTATCAAACTCAAGAATGAAAATGTGGGGATTTTTTTCAACTGTGTTGTGTTTCATAGGCTTAAACTGACCATTCCTATCTGGAGTGTATTACAGCATCAAACGTGTTCAAAGATAATTCATTCAACAATTTAAGAGCATGTTTTCAAAAACCAGTGACAATGGGCTTGTTTCTGTTTCATTTTTCATGATTGTAAGAAAAACCATTCAGGCTATTAGAATATTGTTATTGATTAAAAAAAAGAAGAAAATAATTAATGTTGAGGTAAAGAATGACTTTAATAATTCTTAAACCAACGGTGGGAGCTTTGGTGGCCTAGACATGAGAAGCTGTGCTAGTAACGCAAGGTGGGAGCACCCTTCTGGCAGTTCAAACCCACCAGCGGCTCCGTGGGAGAAGAATGGGCAATCTCCTCCCATGCAATTTAGAGACTCCAGAAAACCCTCCGCAGGTGAGCTATGAGTTAGCTCTGACCCAAAATCAATGAAGTTTTTTGGTTTGTTTGTTTTATACTAACGGTATCTGAAATCTTTGTACAAAAGCAATTGAGATGCAGTTTAGTGAACAAGAACTCAGATGCATGTTCCAGTTCCAATTCTGACTCCTGGTCACCCTACATCAAGTTTCTGAGGCGAGAATTGTAATGGGAGGAGCCTGCCTCACCTTTCACCTGCAGAGTGTAGCTCAGTGGATTCAAAGTCACCCACCTTGCAGTTAGCAGTCCAACATGTAACACACTATGTCACCATATGTCACCAGGGCTCCTTATAATCAGGAAGGTACCATTGATGATATGCACCAACCTAACCCTAACCCTAACCCAGCACCAACTGGTAAACATGAGCCTTGGCCAAATCTACTAAAGTCTACTAAAATCTACTATCAGGGACCCACTAATCTGCATCTTAACTAGCACTCTGGGTGATTCTGAAGTCCACTCAAGTTTAGGAACACCATATAAGATTAAGACTAGACAAGAGGGGGGAAAAAACACTTAGTATACTAAGAATGTAAATAAAATACATATTTTCTTTAATTTTTTAAATTGTTTTAATTATTATTATTTTTTATGTGTGTACCGTCAAATTGGATCTGATTGGTACAGGAGGCAATTGTTCCTCCTTCTTCAGCAGAGCATCTGGTGGATTTGAACTGCACACCTCTGGGACTGCAGTGCAGCTTCTTGCCACTAGGCCACCAGGGCTCGCCAAAATACATATTTTTTAAATTGATCAAAATGTTAGCAAGCAGCCTCCACCTCATGGGTTCTTTCAAGTTCAGCCCACCAGTTGCTGCTGAGAACTGCACTCCACAGGTTTTCAGTGACCTTTAAGACAAAGATATAGCAAAGCCTTTCTTTGGAGGTGCCCGGGAGTAGATTCGAACCAACCACCTCTTGATTATCAGCCACACAAGTAACCATCTGCATCATGTCGGGACTAACAATTACTATATTCAATGATAAACATCACTTTCTTCATCTTACAAAGAACAAATGTATACAGTGTTATCACAGTGTTGAGTCCCTGATAACAAAGGCTAGCATTTTAGGCCTTTGTTTGCCATTGCATTTTCCAGGTTCCTTTGTTCACTAATATTGACCTCAACCGCTTTTGGCAAAGGCTTTAGATACCCTTGATATAAGTATTTGTAAATTATTACCAGTAATTCTCATTCACATAAAATAAGCAACAATCATCACCTAAACATTGACTAGTGTCTTTCTTTTTTTTTTTTTTTTTTGCAAATAACACTATCCTAATCACCACCTAATGAGCTTGGGGTGAATCCACCAGCTGCTCCACAGGAGAAAAATGGACATTCCTCCACCTGCATGATTCACAGCAGAGGAAACCTGGCAGAGGTTTGCTTTGGGTAGGAACTGACCACTCAGAAGTAGGTTTGAGGTTTTTGTTTTCTCTCTCACTTTGCTGGTTAGTCAGAACCAACTCACAGCTGACCCTCTGGTGGGTTTTCCGGAGGCTGCAAATCCCACAGGAAGAAACTGTCCATCTTTCTCCCAAGAAGCCACTGCTGGATAAGAAACACCAAAGATATGCCACCTTTGTGTTTACAGGGCAACTCCCCATGGACTGCACCACCAGAGCGCCCTTTTGGGTTAAGTTAAGGCACATCAAATATATGAAGACTTAGAAGAGTAATGAATAAGCCAGTTACATCTTCTGTAAGCAGGCAAAACTCCATGTGAAGCCCAGAGAACGAATTCTCCTCTATAAATTGCAAGCACACTTTTAAAACCAGCAGCGACCTTGGGCAGCCTTATTTCCTTCATGGCGAACATCTGGTTACCGCCTTCCTGCTGAACCAAGAGAGCTCTGCCAAAGGAGCCCTCGCCGATCACGCGCAGGATGGTATAGTCATCCATGCTGGGCCGCCACACGACCTGGAGCCTTCACAGAATCACCACGTGGCTCCCGAACTGTATTCAAAGTCAGAAACATCGGACGGTTAGATTCATGTTCAAAGGAAAAATTAATTCAGTCCCTCTTAAAATCCTGTAAGACAACGGCAACTTACTCCTTCATTCATTCAACAGACACCCCCCCCAAAAAAAAACCCCAAACCCACTGCCATTGAATCAATTCTACTTCACAGAGACCCTACAATACAGAGTAGAACTACTGTCCACTGTAAAACTTTATGGCTACTGCACCTTTCATCACAGTTATTAGATTTGAACTACCAATCTTTAGGTCACTTTATTACTGCTGTTGTTGGTTTTAGGTGCCATCAAATCAAATATGACTCATAGTGACCCTGTGAGTAACTGACCTGAACCTTGTCCTATAACCTGTGCCATCCTCATCATCTCTGACACCCCAACACCCACTGCTGAAGTCACTATGCCAATCCATCTCATTGAGGGTCTTCCTCTCCTTCACTGACCCTTCATCCTTCCAAGCATGATGTCTGCTTCCAAGGAAGAGCTTTTTTAATTACATGTCAAAAGTATGAAAGATGAATCTTTTCCATCTTTGCCTCCAAGTAGCACTCTGGCTGCACCTTTTCCAAGATATCTCTGTTTGTTCTTTTGGCAGTCCGTGGAATATTCAGAACTCTTCTCCAACACCATAACTCAAAGCATCAATTCTTCCGTCATCCTTATTCACTGCCCTGCTCTCTGACTTGTAGCAAGTGGCTGAGAAGACCATGGCCTGAATCAAGCACACATTAGTCTTCAAACACATCACTGCTCTTCAGTATTTTAGAGGTCCCTGACAGTGAACTTGCCCAACCCAAAACATCTCCTGGTTTCCTGACTGCTGGTACCAAGGGTGTTGACTGTCGATCCAAGCCAGATGAAATCACTGACAGCATCAATCCTTTCTCTATCCATCATAATGTTGTCTGTTGGTCCTGTGGTGAGAAACTTTGTGTTCTTGATGTTGAGATGTAATCCATATTGAAGGCTGTAGGCCTTGATCTTCTGGAGCAAGCGTTTCATATCTTCCTTATTTTCAGCAAACAAAGTGTGTCATCTACCACTAAAGTTCTTTTAGACGCTAGGCAGTGAGCTTCAACTGTAGCAGATGTTAAAATCTTGAACCAATCTCTCAAGGTCCCTGTCACCACAGGCAGTTCAATTCAAGGGGGACAACAAGACCTCAACAAATGGAGGACGGTGAGCCTGAGGGAGGAATGGAAGGTGGTCAGGCAAGCAGGGGAAGGGTGGTCAAGGCAGAGATCATGCTATTTCTGATGGCAAAGGACACTGTACCCACAGAGTATTACTCAGCCATAGAGAAATTAAATCCAGATACATACATTATAAGGACGAGCCTTGAAAATATGCTGAGTAAACTAAGTCATTGACAAAAAGAAATATTCTATGATCTGACCTACATGAAATATCAAGAACAGGGAGTATATAGAAACAAAAGGTTATCAGTGGCTACCAAGGCAGAGAGTCATTGGATGGTGCAAACAGTTTACATCTCAGCTAGCCAAAGGGTTGAGGGCAGTTCAAGTCCATCCAGAGATGTGTCAGCAAGCCTGGTGGTCAATTACACAGCACAGTTCTATCCTGACCCACATGGTCACCATGATTTAGATGGAACAAGTCATTACTGTGGTTTGGGCTCATGTAGGAGGGGAAGGGAACCATCCCTTAGGAAGAAGGACTGTGTATCAGTTAACAGTGATGGAAAACTCAGCAGTAAATACCGCTGGGGGCTTTACAACTGATCAAGGTGGCTAATGTCACTGAATCATACATGCAATTTATGCTGAATTGGCCAAAGTGTTCTATATATTTTCATCTCAATGAGTCTGTGTCCTCTTTAAGGGGCTGAACTAAGGCAGAAATAGAGCTGAGGGATGCTTAGATTTAATTCTCACAGTAATTAATAGGCTATCTCTGCAGGGCTTTAATCAGGAAAGCAATATCATCATGTTTGCATAGGAGTTAACCAGTGATGGGACCAGATATGGGCCAGTGTGGAAGAGGCCAGAGCAGAGTCAAGTGTGGTCAAGGGTGACCGCCACAGAGAAGGCTGCCAAATGAAGATGGAATGGAATAGGGTTGGAGCTCTGGATGGGATGGATTGACTCAGTGACTAGAGTAATGGGGTTAGGTGTGTCAGAGACAATGAGGTTGGCTCAAGGTAGAGCTGGATTCAGAGCTGTTGTACACAGGGTCGCTATGAGTCACAAGTGACTCCACGCCCCATAACAACATTTTACTAAATGGATTATAACAAATTATAGATAACCCTTAAACGAACGTGAATCCTAGAACTCTTAATTGTGCTCAATGCAAAGCCTGTTCATAGCGGAAAATGCAGTCCTTTGAACAGAACAAGGGAACTGCATGGTTTAAACTCAGGAAAGGTGTACACCAGGGTTGAATCATTTCTCCATAACTGTGCCAGGATTGGAGGACAACTCATTAACAACCTAGCTACACAGATGGCACAACCTTGCTTGCAGAAAGGAAAGAGGCTGGGAAGCACTTATTGAAGATGATCAAAGACTACAACCCTTCAATATGGATTACATTTCACCATCAAGAAAACAAACAAAAACTGGACCAACAGTTAACCATGATAAATGGAGAACAGAATGAAGTCAATGATTTCATTTTACATGGACACACAGTCAATACCTAGGGAGTCAAGAAACCAAAAGATTTATTTGCACTAGGGAAAACGGGCTGTCAAAGGAATTCTTTCAAGTGCTCAAATACCTGGATGTCAGTTTAAACATTAAAAATGCTCCTAAACAGGCGAGCTCTGGTGGCCTAGTGGCAAGAAGCTGCACTGCAATCCATGAGGTCCGCAGTTCAAGTCCACCAGATACTCTGCTGGAAAAAGAGAAACAATCTCCTCCTGTACCAGTCAGATCTGATTTGACGGTACACACACAAATAAATAAAAAAAAAAATGCTCCTAACCCAAGTCAAGGTATCTTCAATTGCTTCATGTGCATTTGAAAATGAATGCATAGACAGTGCATAAGAAAGACTAGGGGTTGAGGGAACTGACCCGTCTGAACTGTGCTGTTGAAGGAGTATTAAGTAAACCCTGGACTGACAAGAGACCAAACAAGTCATCTTGGAGGAAGTGCAGTCTGAAGCAAATCTAGTCCTTGACCCATCCAAGGTGCTCCTTAGAGGAAAGGAGAGTGAGACTTGGTTTCACTTACTTTAGACATGTTGTTGTCAAGATGCTCCAGGCCGTGGAAAAGGACACCACGCTGGGAATACAAGAGAGTAAGGGAAAGACAGGAAGACCCTGAGGAGGTGGATGGATCTAGTGAGTTTAACAACAAGACTGAGCATGACGAGATTGTAAGGATGGCCAGGATTTCAATCTGTTGTTCATAGGGACGCTAGTGCTAGAAATCTTACTGATTCGACGGCAGCTAAAACCAGCCTCCAAGCGGCGCTAGCATCTAAGTCCCGGAGCTTGCGATGCCCTTCCTCGCTGGACAAGCAGGGCCAGCGACCCCGGGCCAGGTCCCTGCGGCGGCCCCACGGTTGCGGGGGTACCCCAGAGCTTGCCCCGGCCTGGCCCTGCCCCCGCGGTGTTGCCTCGCTCCTGGGCGACCCCTGGGGCGCTCCTCCCCCCACAAGGCGTCCCAGGTCCCGGGCGACCGCTCGGTGTGCTCCTCCCCCCAAGGCGCTCCCGGCCCCGGGCGACCTTTCGGGGCGCTCCTCCCCCGCAACCCCAGCCGTGCGCCCTGGGCGCGGACCGCTCACCGTTCCCTGGCGCCCCAGCTTCCCCGCCTCTCGGCTGCGCGCTTCCGGGGCGGGCCGTCGGATCGTCCCGCCCGTGGTCCACCGGGAACTGCTCCGGTGTGGTCTTTGGTGCTGGTTGCACTGTCGGATTGACCCAGAACAAAATGTATAATACAGAGGAGCAAGGCCCCCTGAAGCCTGATCCTCCGGATCAACCTAGCAGGCTCCATCGATGGCATCTCATGGACACAGCACTTGTACTAGCAGTGTCACCTGGGGCGAATGTGGCAGGCACAATCATACCGGTGTATTTGGTGTTGGGCTACCAAGCACAAGGGTCGCTATGAGTCATCTATGACTCGACAGCACCTGACAATAATAATAATGACAGCATAGAGAGAGCTACATTGGCCTAGTGGACAGAAAGTTATGCTACAAAGCCTAAAATGGGTGATTTTAATCTGTGGCACTCAGGCCGGCTTCAAATTGGGTTTTGTTGGTGGTGGTGTTTTTTTTTGTTTTTTGTCAAACATTCTTCTAGGTGGTATAGCACTGGTCTGTGCATTGCTGTTCAGAGGTAATTCACGGTTGCTGTGATGCTAAACACTGACACTGATGTGTCAAATGTGATAATGGTTACTCATGATGGACAGTGTTTGATGGAGCTTCCCGATTAAAATAACCTTGGGAGCAGGAGTGGCGTCCACTTCTGAAATAGCTTGCCTCCAGAAACTCTATGAACAGTGCTCAGGTCTTTCGTTCATAGGGTCGCTGAGTCCTAGGACTCGATGGCACCTAACAACAACAATCTGAGTGTCTCCGGTTCCTTTTCAGCAGCTCTGCTGAAACCAGTGGGTGGTGGCCTTGAGTTTGAATCCACCCAACAGTTGTGGGTTTGGATTGAAGTTGTCAAATGTTCCATTTTACTGTGCTCCATAATCAATACACAGAGTAATAGTGGTCAAACAACGGGATTGCATTAAGCAAATCTGCTATCAAAGACCTTTCCAAAATACTGAAGAGCAATGTTGTTAGGTGTTGTCCAGTCGAGTACAACTCATAGTGACCCTATGAATAAGATCTGAACCCTGTCCTATCCTGTGCCACGTTTACCATCTCTGACACACTTGAGCCCATTGCTGCAATTGTTGCTGAATGCAAGGGATTCTCTCCCTAGTCAATTGCCA